TTGATCCTACGGGCTCGACGTACTTTTCACCCATGACAACGTTGCGCAGGAACATGGTTGCTACGTTCCAGGAGTAAAGCTCATCACTGCCGTCTGTCAAGCGAAGGACAACTCGGACGCGGCCCTCGGTGGTAATTTCAGCACTCTTTCCCCAGAACTTTTGCCCCGGAGCGGGTGAGTGCGAGAACGACCAGTTTGCCGAGTCGGCTTGCATGGCCAGCCTCACCGGCCGATGCTGAACCTTTTCCACGAGCAGTCGGAACCCCCCCGGAATATCTTTGTTTGTCCTGACCAGTTCAAATGTTTCACCAAGAAGGGGGTTGAACGGTTTTCGAATCGCTCGTTCTTTGGCTCGACCGCCGCTGAATCGAGACACGGCAAAGGCCGTAACAAAGAGTAGTCGTTCTGTTGGGCTTTTCTGTCTGCATGCCTTGTCCAAAAGCTGCGCATATTCAAGTGGCTCGGCAACCTTCTGAAGCAACGATATGGGTTCGTTAGCAGACACGGGCATGCTAATCGTGCTAAGATCCTTTCCGACGTTTTTGCGAACGAATGCGATAAGACTTGGTGGTTGGACCAGCGCTGGCGGTATTCCGGTTCTTCGAGTTACGGCTTGGTCAAGGGGGAGAGGAGTGAGATTCTTCGGCCTGACAGGGTAAACATCACCGGTGCCTTCTGTACCAACTCCCTCTTCGTCTTCGATTGAGGATATGGATGAGCTTTCGTGAATAGATTCCTCCTCAGCCTCGGTCTCGGCGGATTCGTCTTCGCTGCCATCGATCTTGACGACGCCTGACTTCGCGTCCTCGGCATCAAAGAATTCGTCTGTAGATGTCGTTTCGATGCTCATGCGGGAAGCACCCCCAGCGGATGGGGGTTGCGGCAAACGACGTCTTTTGCTGTTGGCAATCAGAGCAGTAAATTCGGAGACGACAGAATCGAGATCAGAGAGTAGGGCCTGGCAGTGATCATAAAGGGACTTCTCCTCTTGAGCTACTCCGCGAGACCTTCTCTTGGACGCCTGACGGGTCACGGTTTCCACACCGCTAGTGGCGTTGGCAAGTGAAGGCACAGCCAGGGCTGACGGAGTGGTTTGTTGAATGGGAGAGGTTGACAGGGATGGGGCACTAGACTTTCGTTTCCAGAACGACTTCTTCTCCACCGTCGGAGGGAAATAACCGTCCTTGTTCTCCTCGTTGGGGGTTCCAAAGCCGGGTGAAAGAAGCTGTCCGTTTGGCGAAGGCTTTGGCAACTGGGCGAGCTCTTTTGTCAGTCTGCGGAGAGCATCGCGCGTACCCACAACACGACTGACAAGGGTCTCAACCTGCTGCCATTCAACGGTTTCACTGTGGCACGGATCTTGTGTCCTCCTGGGCACATGGCCATCGAGCTTCAAACTAGGTTTTGAAGGCTTTGTCAGTGTCTCGAGACCTCGAGCGAGGCGACTAGCTCGCTCCAGCGCCCGTGCCCAGTCCTGAAATTCCTTGTCATTTGGTGCCCGCAGATGCCAAACCTCGGCACCAGAGTCAATACTGATTTCCCTTCTTCGCTCATCTGCTGCAATGGCAGCCAAACTGAGGGGGATGGCTCCCCGTAAGGCAGACGAGTTTCGATTATAGTAGTATGACAGAGTGCAAGTCGAGTAGTCCAGTGAGAAGAAGCGGCGAGCATAGCCCTGTCCCTTCTTGCGCCGTCTTTTTGAAAGTGTACCGACATGATAGTTCGGAGAGGCTCCGGTAACATCACTCTTTCCAGCTGAAGATTGCGCCCTCGCACGGCCATGACTTGGAAGACTATCTACCGAGGTCGAGGGACCATTCTCATTATGAGGACTCCCATGCTTTCCCAAGCTAGACTGGCTGTTCTGAGCATTCGGCAACTGCAGGTTCGGCAAATGGTTAGTTGTCTGAGGTGGCGCGCCAGTTGGATATGTGAGAACAACAAATGTAGCTGTCTTGGAGGTTTGCTTGGAAAAAGTGTTGTCGAAAACCAGGCCATACATGCCGCCCTGGCCCGTATGAACATCATGTGTGCCTCTAGAAACCTTGTCCGCTTCGCATTTCCCATGCCAGGAGATCGGGATAAAGCCCTTGCTGATCAACAAGTCTTGCGCGGTAGTCTCCTTTTTGGGGAATCGACCACCTTTGCCATCCGTGGTTCCTTGAACCGGAGCACCATCGAGTACGTCGCCATTCGAGGAGAGTATTGTCGTTGCGCCGCTGCCTGGATGTTTAACAATACCGAAGTTACTGGTGATAGAGTATTGTCAGCGAAGACGGCGCTTTGTATCTTATGCCGTGTTACGGCTTTATTTTGAGCTGGCTCACATTGATTTCTTGTTCGGCTGCACACTCCACGAGAGGGTATGATCTTCGTCGACCCTCACCCATCGGACTATGTAGGACTGTTTGGAGTTAAGAACGGGTTCAAGAAGCGATGCTGGACGGCGCTGGGCGACACTGGCGCGGGGAGATGAGAGTAACAGGTGTCTATTACCTTGCTGTGGACCTCGAGCTTCTCGATGCCGGCCATGATGGGTGTCGTGGCACCGTGGCTCTAGCGCGAGAAAGAGCAACTTTAATGGTGGTGGTAGAGAGCGCGGCTGGAATGCACCCTCTGAGAAGAGCACATGGAGGAGCCTTTTTATCAACTTTGCATGACTTGCAGGGTCAGACTTGGCTAGGCGGAAACCGTGGCTGTCGTCACTGTCGGTCTCGGCAACCCGCGATTGCTGGGGAACTCGGAGGCTAAGGAAGCCCTGACGGAGATGCAGGGAATGTTGGAGAGATGCAAAGCTGATGCAGGCTGGGTGGCCGAGGCATTATCATACGAAGTCGGGCGTCGCGGACAGGGCTGCGGAGAGTTGACTTGGCCAAGGGGGGTTAGCACAGTTCAATGTTGCCATCTGACATTGGGATTGACCCCAGGTGACAGCGGCCGACCCAGCCAGCACTGGAGGAGTTCCAGGGGCCTGCATGGGAGCCCAGCACCAGATGGCACTTAGAAACCGCACGCGCGGTGCAACCACATGCAGCATTCAACATTGGAATGTTGAAATGTGACTTGACCTTCAAGGTGCCCCTCCGGCCTGCTCAAGGGGAGCCTCGTGTAGCCTTGCGGCCATGTTATGTTACTTCTGTATGATCTGAGCAACGGTTCTCATATAGCTTCAAAATAGCCAACCTGTACGCATTGCACTTTTCACACCATTGAGGGCCACAATTGGCTCAGCCACAGCGCGAATGACCACCATCATGCGGCATCTAGAGGCGCGGCCGGAGGTACGGATGGAGGTGCGGGCCAACTCTCCCCGCCGAACCGCCTCAGGCAACTACCGAGTAGTTATAAGTAGTACCATCCTATTTGATGACTTCAATGTTGTAACTGCCCCGGATTCGGGAAGCTACGGAGCTTGGCGGAACAGGAATAACAACGTGGCGGGTCTCAACCGGGGCTTTTCGCAGCATTTCCGGCTTGAACTTGACCAACTTTGACTGCTGACTCGCTCCTTCAACCGGACCGTGTCGGACGCCGTGTAGTCATTGAACCAAGACGGAGAAACATCCCGACACGCTCCTCAGGCAGGTGAAACCACTCGAAAAGCCGTGCTGAGATCCTGAAAGGAAACAATGATGCCCCCCAGCCTCTCGAACAAATGTCATGTTGACTGGGCCAGCGACACGGTACATATGGTGGAGTCAGTGAGCGCTGAAGAAACAAGATGTCCAGCCTCAAGTCTCAGTGTATCGAGTCGGGCCTAGTGCTTGCCGGTGCCAGCGGTGCCAGCGGTAGCCGGGACTGGCGGATCAACAGCCAGCGCACGGTTCAGTAGGCAATGCATTGATGGCTATTTAAGTACTTGGGTCAAGTAGGAGTCTCACCCAGACTGCTCAGTGTTGCAGCAGGTTGGCAACACTGAGGCACTTGACTGAAATGCTGTCTGCTCTGTCCGCCGCGGCTCACCTGTGGCGTTGAAGGCCACAGTCCACCAGACAGACATAGAAGGGTCAAGAGGTCTGGATGTCCTGATGTTTGGACGTGCGCCCATACCCCCCACTGTGGGCCGAACGCCATTGATGCTTTGGGTTTGAGACCCCACCACCGAGTACGCACCAGACCCTTCAACTTGAGAATGTTGGTCTAACCCTTGACGGCAGCTAACCAGACCAGGACGTTCTTGATGTTTCTCCTTTTCGGCCAGACCATCCGTCAACCTTCAAGTCATTTTCGACATCACAACGGCGGCGGGAGTCGAGAGGTGCACTCACAGCGTTCTGTCAATCTCTTTGTTTGTGTCGCTTTTGTTACCAACTTGGACTCTTTGCCTCCTCGCCTGACATTTGCCCTTCACCCTTTATTTTTTCCTGTCCGTCCTTTTACCTTCTCGCCATGGTCTTCGAATAACTTCCATCATTTCTCGCATGCGACTGCTCTCCATCTTGGTTTTCGTCGTTCTACTTCCTTTCTTTCGCAAGATATCCAACTTTCAACGTGGCTTGCAGCAGGGCTCTTGGAATTGCTTCATACCATACAATACCATAACGTATAATCTTCCCTTGCCATGACCAGTGCTTTGAGTAAGCGCCAGCAAGCGCGCAATGAGAAGGCCCTCCAAGACCTCGTACACAAAGTCCCGGGCAACAACTTATGCGCAGACTGTCACGCGAGGAACCCAGGTTTGTTCAAGCTTCTCCATGTATTTGAATTGGTCAACCTGCTTACTGACGCAAACCGCGCTTGAAGCTTGGGCATCATGGAGTGTATGAAATGAATATATCCCACCGGCGCTCGAATCTCCCCCGATACTGATCAGTCCGTAGTTGGGCGTTTTTCTATGTATGCGCTGTGCCGCGATACACCGAAAGCTAGGCACTCATATCTCCAAAGTCAAGTCGCTGAGTATGGACAGCTGGTCCAACGAGCAGGTTGATGTACGCTACGACGGCTCTACACCATGGGACCTGACTGCTGTGGAATGACTGACAAGAGTGTTCTAGAATATGCGCAAAGTTGGCAACGTTACTTCGAACCAGATTTACAATCCCGAGGGTCGAAAAGCACCGGTACCGATTGACGCGGACGAGGCGGACTCTGCCATGGAACGTTTTATTCGCCAGAAGTACATTCATAATGTCGCCGCCAAGTCTAGCATGCCGCAAAGCCGGGGATCCGACGAAGGTACACCCCCGCCGCTACCGCCCAAGAACTCAACAAAATTCGGATTCAGATCAGCTTCGTCTATTTTCCCCTTAACATCTCGCGCAAAGAAGGACCAGCGAGCTATAAGCAGTTCGAGTGGTAGCGCAGTGCCGTCCCCGACATTGCCAAATAAACCTTCTAGGCTTTTTGGGGCCACGGTCGATTATGTCGGGCCGGATGAAACTGACAAGAAACTGACAAGACTTTATGAAATGGGGTTCCAGGATCCTCAGCGCAACGCCATTGTTCTCAAGGGTGTCAACGGTCATCTGGACCAGGCGGTTGAGGCTTTGGTCCGACTAGGAGAAGGCAGAAATCAATCTCCAGCACCTATGCCAGTGTCTCGAGAACCTACATTGCGTGCCACAAAGTCCATGACTCCATTGAATTCCCACTCAGGTTCAGCTGGGGTCGGGCTGAGCTTAAGCGTTCCACAGAAACCGATGCTTGATAGGCCAACAACGTCATCCACCACATCTACGAATCCCTTTGATACGATACCGCCTGCACAACCTCAAACCGCCCAGTCTACAGGGACGCTGCATAATAGAAACTCATACAATGGCACGAACAATCCTTTCGGAGCTCCCTCGCAGCCAGTCGAACTCAGTCAGGCGTTTCAGGGTCTACATGTGTCAACGTCCACATCTCATCCGACATTCTTTTCCCAGACTAATGGAGTACATCAATTACAAACGCCACAGCAGCAGCAGCAACTGTACCAGCAGTACATGTCGCCGTCTGCTCCCGCCAGCCCTCAAAGTTATCAAACCGTGACTTTCCAGAGCAGCATGACATATCCGCAGCCGATTTCTTCCCTCCAACAACCCATGCAGACCGGCTACAACCCGTTCTTCTCCCAACCGTCGAGTCCAGCCCCACCGCCACAAAATTTGACCGTGAAAACGGCACGAGGGTTTGCCAACAATCCGTTCTTGCGATCCCCTACGAGAATAGCATCTCCGCCTCTTATACAGATACCGGAACAAGCCCAATCCAATTTTGCCGAGTCGCCGTTCCTGAGTGCATCACCCCAACCGCTTCCGACATCATCGAACCCTTTCTTTACCACCATGCATCAACCGCAGCCGCAAGTACAGCAGTTTGTCCAACAATCGTATGCCGTTCAGCAAACCCAACAGTCGTACTACCAGAAACCCCGACATGACAAGGCTTCGATAATGGCGCTATTTAATCAACCTGGACAATACACTCCCAAGCCTGCAGCCGTGGAGCCGAATGTGAATACTACAACTCCAAGTATACCAGAAAATCAGGCTATCTACACTCAATCTACCCAGCCACTGCCCACAGCAAACCAGCAACCACGCAGTCCGTCACAGCCAATAACTGGGAATACAAATGCGTATATGAACCAAACCACGACCCAGCCGGATCCTTTCGCATCAAATAAGCATATTAGCAGAGACAGTATGAACCTTGGCCTTGATATGGCTTGGACCAATGGAAGACACAGCCCAGATGCATTCGCGAGTCTGAGCGCAAGGCATGTGTAATCCTAATGAGAGAGGATGGAAAGGAACTGTCTCAAACTGAACATAATGTATATACAGTGTATGTGGTGGTGGAATCTATGATGTGGATATTCATGTTGTGTTAAGAGGAGAGTTACTCAATGTGGCGTTGAGAGTGACAATGCTGATGTATAAGCCGACAAACTGCAGATGGTCACCAAGCTCACGAGTTGCTACACAGGTTGGTGCCGCATACCATGCCGTTTGCCGCGGTTGACAGGGTGTCCCTCAGAGAGCAGATGCAAACGAAAATTTCAAATGTGTTTCATTTGTTGGAGTGTTTCGGATTGGTTAATAACTAATACCCGCGCAGCCTGTGATCTCCTCTCCGAGTGCAGTTACCAGTCAGCGCCAGTCAGCGACCAAGTGCCCACCTAATTACCTAGGTAGTTGCCGCTGAGATAGTCCGGTTCATGTACGTACTCGGTAGGTTAACCCTCCTTCAGACAACGCGGAGTATTGGACTCGACGATTGATTGGGAGACATAAGTACTCCGTACTACCTCACGCCCAGCCTTGTACTCCAGCAGAATTAGTCACATCAATTTGCATTCACACAATTGGCGACACGATGACGGAACGCCGACACCACGACGGCCATGTCGGGCTTGGCGGACAGGCTCCAGGCCAGAGATGAAAGTGTCTGGTGCACGTGGTTGCAGACAGTGCCTTTGACACGAGGCGGACTGTAAAGACAAAGCGACTGTCAAGCCAGTAGCTGGTCTATAGTGGGCTGGAAGTGCTGCGTCTTTGTGCTCGGCACGGACATCATGTCGGATGCACAGTACGAAACCCCCATTGCAGACAGTGATGCAGAGTTTCGCATGGGCTACGCCGCTCTCCGTCTAATCCGGCCGGATGGTGCATGGCGTTTCACTGCTGGCGGTGGTCCGCCACGAAATGACTGGAAGGATCCAGTTGAGTTGTCTCAGGTGACTTGTCACCGCTCTTCCCCCCGACACCAGCAGTTCTGCTTTTCTTCCCCCAATCCACACACGTTGCACAGCACAAATCCATCTCAACCTCGCTTTTCCAAGCAGCCGCCTTTCGCAGCACACTTTCCAATCTTGTCTCGATTGCCTCTTTGTCTCACCGACCAATTTTACGAGATCCTCCTCGATTCAGATCGTCCATCTGACGCCCACATTACTGCACAATCCAGTCGCCACTTCGTCGCCAGTCAACTTGCCTGCGACGACCTCACATCGAATCCATCGAATCCATCGAACCCTCTCAGGACAGTAATCGTGGAACAACGATAACAATGGCGCTTTTAAGTAACCAGAATTTGAATTGTAGTAGTAATTACGGCGAGGACGTCGTTGCCCGAGTCAACGTCCTTGCCTCCTGCTACATTGTCGACTCAGCTGCCCACCTTAAGGGCATCCACTACTGCACTACCGGGGCTGCAGGTATGTTCTCCAAGACTTTTTCTGGCTTCACGATGCCATATCCCATGTGGTTCGGTCAGTTGTGACTGCCTTCAAATCATCACTGTTTTTTTTTTTTTTTTTTTTTCCGAAACGTTATACTGACTAATCTCAAGGGGCGGAGTGGTATTCCTGAGGTCCCTACCTCAGGACTACCTTCTCCTCCAACAAGCCCCCCCCTCGCCGCGCTGACTTCGTCTAACGAGCTCGCGCTTCTTCCGAAGAACAAGAAGCGCGACAATTCGGGCCACCGTCGCCCGGAGCGACGAGGGGGGGCAGCACTCACGATCAGGGAAGAATGTGAGAGATTCTTTTGTGAGACCATGAAGGCAGCATTCCACGGTGAGAGGAACCTGTCGATGAATGGCTCCGGCCTGTCAGGTGCTTATTTACAAACACCGCCACCAGAGAGCCGGTTATCCGACGTCTTCCGGCAGAGCATGGACATCAAGTCTCGGGGATTTGAAGTCGATGCTTGGATGGAAGTTTGGGATTACGCTGGTGGTGCGAGCTTTCGAGCCTTCGTGGCAAATAACGGACAGGAGAAATCCTTGTTTGTCTTTTTCGACGTTGAAGGCGTTATGGGACGAGATCTCAAGAAAGCGTGAGCTATCCTTTCCCTTTGTTCGATGCTTTGCGATGACTGAACTTGATTCTAATGATTCGTCCTATTAGTCTTATGGCTCTTATCGAACTCGCTGATGGCCCTTTGGAATGCGCACATATTGTGACTTGCATTGATCGCCGTATACCCATTGAGGAAGCACACGAACTGACCAAGAGCCTTCAGTGGGTTGGATTCGAAATGACTACTCTAGACCACTGGGCAAATCGCCTCGATTTTACGAGCAAACGGTGGGTGTTTATGGGCATGGAACTCTAGGAGTGATTGTGTATCCATCGTCTCCTGGACTAGAGTTTGGCCACATTAGAATTTCCTGTTTCGAACCCGGACTTGAGTTGCCCAACCCGTTTGCCCTCTTGCCTCTCTCTTTTCGGCTCGTAGCCATTTTGCCGTGTTTTCTTTGTTTTGCAGTTTGGCCATGAGCGGTAAAATGCTTTCCAGTGTCGGGCAGATGGGAGTGTTAGCCTGGCGTAATGTCTGCTTTATGTTTTTCTTTCTGGTTCCTTTCGTGTCCTATTAGTTTGTCTACCGTTGGTCTGAAATGTGTATATCCGGTGGCGTTGCAGCATTTAAGAATGGTTTAGTTTGATTGTATCAAATACCTACCGGAAAAGCAGGTCGCAGCATCATGGACACACGAATTGAATCCTGGTATCATTGAGGAGTTGGTGGACATTGAATAAAATAATCTTTTGATCCCCAGAATATGGGCCAAGTGCTAAATAAACATGTCAAACGTGAAGTATGCCGCCTTATTCATCTACATCATGACAGGTCTTGTTCAAATTGCCTCACTACAAGGCCTTTGTCCTTCAAGTAATCCTTCACCTGCTTAACTGTATACTCGGCGCGGTGGAACATGCCGGCACCGAGAGCAGCATCCGTGGTAGTCTTGCTAAAGACCTCTTCAAAGTGGCTTGGGTTGCCAGCACCGCTTGAGGCAATGACGGGAATCTTGACAGCATTCTTGACCTGGGTGATGAGCTCTAGATCAAAGCCGGTGTTTGAGCCGTCCTTATCAATGCAATTCAGCAGCAATTCTCCGGCGCCCATGGCCTCCACCGCCTGCGCCAGCTCGACGACGTCCATGTCCCGTGTTTCCCTGCCGCCCTTGATGGTGCAAGCGTACCAGCAGTACGGCTCGCCCCTGGGGCCGGGGAATTTGGTCTCGATGATGTTGTGGCGGGTAGCGTCCACCTTTGGCACGTAGACGCGCTTGGGGTCCACGCTGACGACGACGGCCTGGTTCCCGTACGCACGGGAAATCTGCTCAATAGCCGTGTTGCCAAAGAGTTTGCGGCCGATGGAGTAGTACTCCTCCGCGGCGATGACGGCGTCGCTCCCGATGGAGACCTTGTCCGCGCCCGATTTGAAGTACATTGTTGCGATTTCCAGCGCCGAGACTTTTGTGCCGTCGGTGTCGACGGTGTCGCGGATGCCGCCGCCAATGGTGAGCGGCACGAAGACGGTCTGCGATGTCTGACGCAGGATTTCCAACATGGGGAGGTCGGCGATGGGGCAGTCGCGGAAGGATGTGATGTTGAGGAAGGTGACTTCGTCGGCGCCGTCGTGGTAGTACTTCTTGGCCATTTCGACGGGCTTCCCGAGGTTTCGGACGTCGCGGGTGTCGTTCTTTTCACGGACATCGTACTGGTCGCCCTTTGTGACGACGAGGTCGCCCTGGTCGTTGGTGCGGACGTCGAGGCAGGCTATGACGCGACGGGTGAGGCCGTCCTTGGCCTCGGAAGAGGCTTGACCGAGCGTCGAGGACGGCGAGCCGAGGGGTTTGGCACCTTGGCCGTTGGACGGGCTTCCCGAGGTTTCGGACGTCGCGGGTGTCGTTCTTTTCACGGACATCGTACTGGTCGCCCTTTGTGACGACGAGGTCGCCCTGGTCGTTGGTGCGGACGTCGAGGCAGGCTATGACGCGACGGGTGAGGCCGTCCTTGGCCTCGGAAGAGGCTTGACCGAGCGTCGAGGACGGCGAGCCGAGGGTTTTGGCACCTTGGCCGTTGAGGAATGCGCGGAGAGTTCGCAGGCCTGCGACGCCCGACTTTTCCGGGTGGAACTGCGTCGCGTAGATGTTGCCCTTGGCCACGGCGCCGACAAATGTTTCCGTGCCGTAGGTGCCTGTCGCGACGGTCCATCCTTGGTCTTCCAGCTGGCCCTTGACGTAGGGGAAGCGGTATGTGTGGACGTAGTAGTATTTCGAGTCTGGGCGCAAGTCGTACATGGACTGGCCAGCGGTGCTGGCGCTGTTCCAGCCAATGTGCGGAACTGACTTGGTCGAGTCGTCAAAGCGGCCCAGGAATCCCTTCACGACACCGAGCCCGGGCACGTCGGGGTCCTCGACGGACCCTTCGAAAAGCGCTTGCAGGCCAACACACACGCCCATAAAAGGCTTGCCCTCGTCAATGTGTTTCTGGATGGCGGGCAGGTAGCCTGCCTGGGAGAGTTGGGAGAGGCAGTGGCCAAAGTGGCCTACCCCAGGCAGAATGAGTTTCTAGATATCCTGGTTAGAAAAGTCGATTCATTCATTTTGCCCTCCTCACCCAAGCCCTCCCCGTTCTCACTTCCAAAAAAGAATCGCTTCTCTCCTTTATCTGGGTATTCCTATCCGCGTTGGGGGCTGTGTGATACATACCTCTGCTTGGGACACATCTTCCGGCGACCGGATCCAATCGACCTCATATCCAAGCTTCTCGACGGCGTTCACCAGGCTGCGAATGTTGCCGGCGACATAGTCCAACAAGTGAACCTTGGGCATTGTGAGCCCCCCTATGAGAAATCGCGAAGAAGCGATCTGATGCGACAAAGCGGAGGTTTTTTTTTGGGGGGGGGGGGGGGGGGGCGGGGCGGGGGTCAAAGCGGCCCAGGAATCCCTTCACGACACCGAGCCCGGGCACGTCGGGGTCCTCGACGGACCCTTCGAAAAGCGCTTGCAGGCCAACACACACGCCCATAAAAGGCTTGCCCTCGTCAATGTGTTTCTGGATGGCGGGCAGGTAGCCTGCCTGGGAGAGTTGGGAGAGGCAGTGGCCAAAGTGGCCTACCCCAGGCAGAATGAGTTTCTAGATATCCTGGTTAGAAAAGTCGATTCATTCATTTTGCCCTCCTCACCCAAGCCCTCCCCGTTCTCACTTCCAAAAAAGAATCGCTTCTCTCCTTTATCTGGGTATTCCTATCCGCGTTGGGGGCTGTGTGATACATACCTCTGCTTGGGACACATCTTCCGGCGACCGGATCCAATCGACCTCATATCCAAGCTTCTCGACGGCGTTCACCAGGCTGCGAATGTTGCCGGCGACATAGTCCAACAAGTGAACCTTGGGCATTGTGAGCCCCCCTATGAGAAATCGCGAAGAAGCGATCTGATGCGACAAAGCGGAGGGTTTTTTTTGGGGGGGGGGGGGGGTGAGGATGCGGTTAGAGGTCGGGAGAAGTGTGACTGTTCGCCAGTGATTGGAGTCACCGGTTCTAGCTGAGGGCAAGTTATGGATAATCGGATTTTGGAGCTGGGTTAAGAGGGAAGTAGGCGCATAACAAACAAGTGACTCAATCTCGAATGCCGACAAAGGCGCAGCATGAGACACGAAAGTGCCATGGAAATTCAGTTGCGATGGCGGGGCGTTTGAGCCCCATGTGGCTTTATCGATAAGAGTGAGTGTTGGGTGACCCAGCTCTAAGACACCAGCGACAGTCTGTGACTGAATTTATTTTCCCAACGAAAGGTATGCACTGAAGTGCCATAGTGAATTATGTTACAGAGCGCGGTAGCCAGGCAGCTGGTCTGACCAAATAGCTTTTGCCCCCCACCATGCTTGTTCTTCGCTTTTCGCGAAGCATCAAGAAAACGTTGAGATGAGAATGGCCGACTTCAACCCTGGACCATTGCCACTTGGCCAGAAACGGCATAGTCCAAAAGCGTCAATGACTGACAGAACCGACGACGCCTCACAACTCACCACTCACTTACATTAAAACCAAGCAAAGTATACGATGTGTATTTCATCCAGGCTCTCATAGCCAGCAAGCCACATGCTCGCCTTTTGCAGTCCGAAGAAAGAATAGGGTGTGAAGACTGTAAAATTTGCACAAAACGGGATTGGTCGCCCGATTTTCGCCCGGATAGTCGCCGTTTTTTTTTTTCAACCCTCTCACCTACCGAAGCCATCTCATCACCGTACATGGCAATGGAGAGACCGAAGAGTGTATTTACCCCAGATGAGCCCGGGGCTTTGCCCCTCGACCAGGTCCTCGCGCAGTTAGTCAACGACGACCAGGAAGAATGGGAGTATGAGTACTCCGCTGCAGAGACAGAGGTAGGTCCGTCTCTCTCGTGCGCGCGCGTGTCTTTGCGTCTCGCTCACAGATTTTCACAACAGACATTCTACCTCACAGTGGAGCTCTCGTATCCCGAGTTCAAAGAGCGCGCAGCTAGAATCCCTCCGCACAGTCGCGGCGGATACTACAGGAACTGGGCGGAACAGGACGCGCCCCGCGAGACTGCCAAACAGCCGCCGCAAGAGGCCAAACAGGCCGCTGGCGACAACAGCGACAACGAGGAAGTCTTCGCCGCAGAGCGAGATTATGAGGATGACGGCACGCCGCTGGACCCGGTCCTCCTGGCCATGAGCAAGGGCAAGGACAAGGCTACAACGCCTCCGCCCGCAGACACGCCAAAACACCAAGAAGCTGAGCCTCCCCAAGCCCAAGAGGAACCTCTGGACACAGAAGAAATCCAAATCCTGGACCTACACACGACCAGCCCCCTCTTCTCCTACAGAGGCCGCCTCTTCCAAGGCAACTGGGCAGAGGTCATTGGCACCGAAGTCATCCTCGCCGGCACGCCCTCGGACGACTCGGCCGCGCTCCCCTCACTCCGCACCCTGCCGGGCGACATCTCCCTCCTGGCGGCCAGCTCCTCCCGCATAATGACCAGCGAAAAGATACCCCGCCCCAAAATACCCTCTGTAGACAAGCTCGCCCCTATCAAGGAAGAATGGAACATCCGGATCCCTCTGGGGAAAGACAAGACCGGCGAGCGCGCAGAACAAATCAATTTCCTCGAGAACCTGATGGCATTCAAGATTAAAAAGGGCGACAAGGATCAAGTCACCGTCTATGCCACCGATGGCAAAGGGAAGGACTGGGACGATAGAAAGTCTGTGTATTACAAACCGAGACGGAAAAAGATTGGCGAAGAGCATGATGCCGAGAAGCAGAAGAACAAGGTGGGCAGGCGGCCGAGAGGCAGGCCGAGCCTGGCAACGAGATTGGAAGGGTATCCTGTGGGGTTCGGGGAGGGTGCTACAAAGCATACTGAACTGTCGACCATGACGCCGACCAGGTGGGATGACCTGGATAGGGAGGAGGCTGATGAGGAAGGCAGTGAAGAGGGTGAGGATGTTACTATGCTGGGGTGATGTGTAACTTTGACGTTGGTATCAGACGCAGTTGGAATCTGTCCTTGGTGCCACGGGTCTAATATTTCCGCAGATTTACTCCATGTCATCAATCGTCTTTCAATCTTTCTAAAGGGAGGCTTCGGAGGATGTCTGGAGCTGCTGCTGCGGGAAATCCAGTACCAGCCAAGAATGAATTTCAACCCTATGTACGCCTAGCTATGCCCTCTATTGCATTATTCACCAGAGAAAACTTGGGTCGCGAGTCAAGCCTATGGCTCATCCGAAATGCCAGGCACACTGTACCTCATCACCAACTGCAAAAGACAGTTCCGTACTGAGCACAGCCAAACAGGTCTCGGAGATTAGAACCGGGGAATGGCGGACTGGTAAGCAGCTTCAAGATCAGCCAAGCCCGGCCTACTACCCGCCGTAGTGGCAGGTCGATACGGTTTCACATCAGCATAGCAATGGGTTTCCGCCTTATCAGGGACAGTGCCGTTCAAGAGGTACGCGCGGAAGAGGTCATCCGTGCATTTTGACACATGTGCCCACGTACCGTGGCCGTACCCATGATGAACAATCAATCTTGCGTTCTTCATCCCCATTTCGCTGAGGAGCTTGCGGCCATTTACAAGCGGCGTGACCGGGTCGTGCGTCGGGGACGCCAGCAGGAGGGGGTTCCTCAGGGGCTGGTTAAAGTCGCCGCGATACACCTCGGCCCCTTTCGGCCAGTACCTTTTGTAGTTGCGGCAGGGAAACACGGACGCGAAGTTGGCGTGCCCGCTGAGGAAACTCTTCTTCACCATGTCCCGCCAGAGAGACTCCCAGACATCCAGACCGCCGGGCGGGCTGGCGTCGCTCGCGTCGCCGCAAACCACCATGAGGAGTAGTTCTGCCCCCGGGTCAGGTTCGGGATTCATATTCGGCGGTTGGAAGCTCCAGGACTTGTCTACCATAGCGGTGGCCGACGCCAACTTGCCTTCTTCCAGCTCCTGGAGTAGTTTGGCTGCGCTGGGCCAAGTTGACGGCGTATACAAGGTTCCTGAAATAAAGGACACCACGTCGCTGTAGGTGATGATCAATGGCCCGCTCTTTTTGCTATATGTTGGTATGGGACGCTCTGCCAGCCCCTGGAGAAGCTTCTGCATCCTCTCCTTCAACGAGCCCAACGTCATATCAGAGCCATTGACAGGCTTGGCAAGTGCGCAGCGTTCAGGGCCGGCTGCAACGCATTCCCCCAGGAAGCCGTCGTTCCAGACATCGGTTGTGTTGTATAGTGCTGTTTGTGCGTAGCCTCCCACGGCTCGATGGTCTCTGGCATAGTCCATGCCGTCCAAGATGATGCGCCCTACACTATCGGGGAACATGTTGGCGTAGATCTGGGCCAGCGTGGTTCCATAGCTGGCAAAGTATCCCGTCAGTTGCGTTTCGTTCAAAGCAATTCGGATTGACTCGACGTCGCGAGCAATGGTGGCCGTGGAAGTGAATCGAGGAAAGTCACCAAGCGTCTTATGGCACGAGCGAAACGTGGCTTCGTTTATGGCATTCACCGTCTCCAGCTGTTGTCGAGCACATGGCGACTCTTTGAGATCCTTGTTCACCGTCAGGGACCAGCGGTCTTCGAGACCGGCGTATGGGAAGCACACCACCTGGGGCTGTGAGAAGCCGACGCCGCGGGGGTCCCAGCTAAGCACGTCGAATGTGCCGTTCGTCAACGCCCCGGCCAGGTTCTCTGCGGATTTGAGAGCAAACGAAACGCCGCTTCCTCCCGGGCCGCCGGGGTTCAGCACAATAGTTCTCTGGCTTTTCTTGCCGACGCCGGAAACTTGGTATTTGACAACGGCTAATCGAGTGATTCGGGGATCAGACTTGTTGTGGTAGTCCAAGGGAACGTCCAGGTAACCGCAAAAGTAGAGGCCTCTTCGCTTGTGAGACGGCGAGGTCGAGGAATTCAGAGCCGACTCCCCCCAAGCCCACGTGTCGGGGTTGGGATTAGATACATGGCCCCACGTGCCTCGGTGGTCTGTATCGTTCAGGAGAGGAAATTTCAGCGCCTCTGGGGAATCGGGGCAAGGAATGAAGTTGAACGGGTCATTTGGTTTTGGGAAGCGCTCCGACGTTGCCTTGTTTTCAACATGAACACGAGGTTCTGCTGGTGCCGCCTCCACGCCCTGCCACAAAGCGCCGAAACTGATACCCAGGAAGACTAGCTTGAACCAGAGCCTCGGAAACGTGTTGAAGCCTGTTTTGTGCTCCATCTTGTGTGTCACAATGAGCAGCTATGGACCGCTTTGAACGTGGACCCGGTCCTTCATTGAACCCATCTATCAAGGGGATGAGATGTTCTTTATAGTTGGAAATCCAAACACATTGAAAGGGTCCTAATTACAAGGTTTTGACTAGCTAGCTTCTAATTCGAAGCTTACAGTTAGTTTGAACCTTCTACGTGACGAGGCCTAGCTACGGTAGGAGGCAAAAGGTATTTGACCAAACCAGGTACCTGGCTACCACGCTCTATACTATTGTATATTAGTGTATATTAGTGTATACTTGTTGGTGGGCAAATATATTCTGCCCCAGACTGTAGATGACTCATTCGATAGACTAGATTACGTATTCGTTGACACACCCTCGCAGCTTGGATCAAAGCCTATCGAAGCTGTTGATAGTTATCAATGCAAGTTGAATCAGATGTCTACGAATGTCTCAAATTGAAGGCCACGACCACCCAGCCCTTGAAAAATATTATCGTTCAAAAGATGCAAACCACTCGATCACAACGCGGACGCTCGCTGTGCTAACCCGGTATTACTCTTAGCCATGACTACATGTATAAGAATAACCCGGCATATCGAAAAATCATGGGCGCTTGGCCTGAAAGTCAAAGTATTCAGAATAGGCCAGCCCTGTATATTTACTTGTCATCCGTCCGATAAAACTTGAAAGAGAAGCGTGAGACAATCGCGACCGAGTCTCCTGCGATCAATCGCGCGGATAGAGAGCGATCACTTATCGTGGGAAACACGACGGCGGGGAACCAGAGCAAAATAACTCGGGAGTTGTCCGCGACAACTTTTTCAACAACGAGTCGAAAACAGGGACGGCAGCAATTGCAGACGCCGCCGCCTTGAACGGCGAATAACGCTGATGATGTCGACGAGCCGTCGCTGCCTAACGAATGATTCGAACCTTTGACCCGGCAGGACCTTGGTCAATCTGTCAGCTAGATTATTAGCGCTCATACATACCTTGATATTCAAGCTTTCTTTGTAATAGTGTGGTGGTTTGGGCTTTACCCAACCCTGGCTGTTGACATTGGCTGCATAGTGTCAATTGGACGAAGTGAGGTTGTGGCCGCTACAAGCTGGAAACGACGTGCGAAGTGTTAGATCTTGAGGGAGTAAATAAAAGTCTGGTTTCTTAAAATAAAATAATAAGTGTCCCTCTTCTCTTTTCTCAGATTTAATTTCGTATGGGGCGTTATTATCCCGTGGTTTGCTTGTCTTGACTGGGCCGTAACAGAAGTCGTGAGCGTTTGATTCGTACCCTTTTACTATGCCGGCTATGAGGAACGTGAAGCAATGATACTGATACGATAGAAGGGAAATCCATGTTTCCGCTCAGATGAGGATCCAAGCAGTAGGATTGATCGAGAGTCCAGGTCTGGGCAGCGGAGACTATAATATTGTGAACTTCTGGGTATGTAACCGTCTGGTCTAAAAGTCCCTAACATGCAGAAATCCGGCGAAACGTACTTGGAACATGGCATGAACATCTCGTTGGCTCACATAACGCACTTTTGAGGCTTACCAACTCGGGGTCAGGCATCAAGGACCAAGGGTTCCAATAGCCTAAACTCTACCGTCGTTGGCAACCTTCGCCCCTCCTATGTAGCACCATGGACCATCTTTCCTACATGAAATACGCACCCAAGCGGTCGCTCAAGATCCCTTTAGCATACAACAAGAGGGTCGATTTCGACATGCAGCTCTGGCATAACTTCCCACGCCGCTGTGGAGTTGAGCGCACGAGGCTTGACACAGCCCCAGGCATCGTCGAACATGCGGACTTCCTACAAGCCTGGCTCTTCTTCGGCTTGCTCTACGAGTTCTCGTTCCTATTCGCCGTTGCTCCAGATTTCGATGATTGCCTTTCATCCAGACGGACAAGGATGGAACCAGCCGGATAACCACCGAGAGACTACCCATGTATCTCTGGTTGTGGTCAGCATCCAAAGTGTTTAGGCGGTGCCTCCATGTTGTTGTTGACGATGACTCCATGTCGGCAGATGATTCCGAGGGCCCCCTCGAGCTTCCTTCAGGTTGACTCGTCCTAGGTCGCATGGGCGGATGCGAAACATTGTGCGCAAAAAAATATCCGCATGCTTCTGGGCGCAGCCGAATTAATCATCACCAGAACGGCTTATATACTCTCCGGTCTGTCCATGGACAACCTGTCTGTGGACCTTCCAGAAAGCCCGGCTTGCCAGAACTTTACATTTTGACTTTTCAGACAGGTCTTACACAGAGCATGAAATGGTTTCAAGCTGGAGTCTTGCTCATGACTCCCCGATGAAATCTACCTTGGATATGCTTGCCAATATTATAAAGCCAGACTACGCCGTCTCGTATACGGCAATCCGTCGCCATATCCCGGTGCCCATGTTAGCACGGGCTCTTATTTAGGCGTCGGACATGGATCCTTATATATACAGGCATCTGGATCTAAACCTGCTTCATTCTACGCAAAAGAGCTCCAGGAGCCCATTATCAAGGTGCTAGACGGGCAGCCTTCAATTTTCTCCTCCGACCAAGACTATCGATTAGCAACATGGACAGTCCGTTTCAGAGAATTCGATCCCCTCTTCGTCCATGATGCGCTTACATCTCTCTCCAACATCCGCATCGCAAAGGAGACAAGACCTCAAGCAGGACCGCTGCGCAGCGGCTCTGGCTGCTCTGCGTGGACGCACAACAAGCCGGACCGATGGCGAGGCAATATGTGTACCAGTGTCATGGGACTTAACACCCTTCCCATCGTGCCGGCACCCGCATCAGAACGCATCAAGATGCTGCTCAAAACGGTTGGTGAAGTGCCTAAACGCCTCATTTTTTTTTTTTTTTCGCCCAACCCACATCTCACGGATGACGGATTCCACTGGGCGCCGCAGAGTTTCCTGAAGCAAAGGCTCGAGATTCTCAGGTTTGGCGACCGTGACCGACCATGGTCTGGTTGGAACCTTTGCTGCACTCCGGCCTCAGTTCAACCGGGATCTGCATCAGCAAGGCGGCACCATTATCATACAATCAACGAAGACGCATACGCCCTGGATGACTTGAATATAGTGGTTCTTTTACCAGTGAGACGTGGGCTGCTTATCAAACATCAAACCCGGTGCTGATATTTTGGCCGGATCCGAGAGGAGACATCAAGCGCGGTATACACGATGGGCAAATCGTAGAGACGGCGAGTACCGATACGATCGGGGCTTTGATATCTGCACTGTGCGGTTTGGCAGGCTTGTGGGATTTTGGAGACTTCATACCAACACCCTTGGCGAGGACGTTGTAGGGAATGGCGAATGGCTTGAGGGACCACGGCAATGGAGCATATCCTAGTGAACCTATTACTGCCTCCTAACATGTCTTGGAGTATATCATCAGTAAAAGTTTTGATTCATCCTCTTACTGGACCCCAAAAAGAGGACAGAGAACACTAACCAGACCCAAAATATGGCAGCTTGATTTCGCGGGGGCTGCTCGCAAAAGGGGGAAAGTGATAAGCGGACAAAGGAAGAAGGGGGAGTCATAATACTGACCCTTTCCACAATACCAGTGCCGTTGTTGCCTCGCTGCAGACCAAAAGGACACCGTATGACCAGGGAGCAACACTCTGACGTCGGCCGCAAGGTTCGCGATCGTCCTGCGCAAGCAGTGTGGAAAATGGGCGGTCCGGCCAGTCCAGGATGTCTGGACTATTCTTAACCTGAAAATAATACGCCAAATAAGCTTATATCATGGTTAGGACTGTTAATATTCAAATCAACGGTACAGGCTTAAAAATAACATGATGATTTTTTCATAAAATATTTTATAATATACTTTCAAGAACTGCTAGAAGCTTGCGGGTTTACGCACTTTGTTTTCATTTAGGAAACGTAGCGGCCAGTGTCTCGTCAGATAACCAAATCGTCGATGTCCTTGTAAGCTCACCCAAACAATAGGGCGGCGCCGCAAGCCCACGCGGGCTATTGAGAGGTTGTTTATGATTCAAACTGAAGTCGGAGCAGCCCGTCACGATGATTCGGCATGTTTGCCAACAAATAAAACACATGGCCTCAACATGCCGCAAATCCAAGCTGATGTAGGTAGGCGTGGAGTGGCTCGTTGCCATATGGCGATCGATGGTTTCACGTTTTCACTTCCTAGGCTCTAAGCAACCGTGCATAAGGCAATCTAACATGCAAGACCATGCGTAGGAAGCCACAAAGACAACAGAGGTGCCATGTGGCGGGCGGATCGATGCTGGTTCGTCAGATTGGACATCTCGGCATCAACATTAAACGATTCCTCATTTCACACAGTCTGCTTTGTGTAGTGACGGCCAAACTGCCTGGCATCAGAAAAGAAGCAATCAGCGGTCAGCAAAGTCGGCATCGTTCCAGATCTGTCGAATGACCAGCCCATGGTGTCATCACGACGTGGCATCAGGGCCCATGATTCGTTCGACACAAGGCATGGAGCAGGGCAGGGTTTTCTGTTTTGCCGGGAGAATCTGATATGGAAAGCGTTGATCTTGCCTACCAACCCCCAGATGGCAGTTTGGAGAGTTGGAGAATGGACCCTGGCTGTGCCGATCGAATCCCACCCAGAGTCTTGGCTTCGACGACAAGACAGCTGCGGGGAGGAAATATTGGCTCCCACCCAGATACTTTGTTCTTTGTTGGCACCGTCGTCGAGGACGTGATTCAACCGTCCCTGCGCACAGAGTAGACGTGGTACACAAAGGCACAGTCATCCATGCACAGTGAAACGGGTCGTGGTTGGCGTGGCGGCGTGGGCATGTGATGGTTTGGGGTCATGCAAGACGTAACCGCCTCTGCACAGCTTGCGGTCGTTGGTCGGATGTTGGTGGCATGTCTAAGTACCTAGGTACCAGAACTTTTGATGGGGCAGCAAACAACGCTGGGTGTTCCAGGAAGGAGCCCTGACGGTCTTCCGGCGCCGGAGACATGCCACCGTGACAAGGTCCAATCGTTCAACGTCAACGGGAGCGTGGGTTGGGTGGATGGTGTGCCGCTGACTAGCGACTTGACGGCTACATGCACGTCCGAGGAAAGAGCCGCCGTCCCCATGTACCGCACTGGTCCCGGTGGCTCCGCATCTGGCCCACAGGCCCACCGGCCCACCAGCCCAACTAAGAACTCGGCAAGTACTACTCCGTACAACACAAGCGTAACAGGCAACTGGCAACAGGCAACAGGTACCAGCCCAAACGGCATTGTCGGTTTCGACCAGCGTCTCCCATGAACCCATGTCCCGTTCCCGCAGCCTTCTCGACCCTGCGCGGCGTGCAGAGAGCCTCGATGCATGACTAGCCCGGCTTGTGCGTGTTTCGTACCTGTTCTCACCTCTTTGACTGTCGTGTAAACTTCCATGTCTTCAAACTCTTCCCTCCCCTTGACATCTCTGCTGTTCGACTACTCGCCGACGGCACTGTCACTGTGCGATCCCTGCTCCCTTCTTTTCGTCGTTATGCTCGAACATATAGCTGGCCTATTTGCACTCTTGCCCTCGGTACTCGCACCACCCTCCACTTCGCCTACTCCGACTGTGCACTAAGGGTCCTTGATCGCTTGCTTGGCTTGTTCTCGGCCCTCACTGCCCGGCCTCATCAGCACCGTTGCGACTTGCCCGTCACTTTCGTTGATCTCCTCGACTTCTCTCGCTCTATACGTCGTCAGCATCCGTCTTGGACGAGACGTGGTGATTTTTTCCGAGACGTGCCGGGGCCGACGACACATGCTCGAAGCGAAGCCCTACGACGCCCGCCCCCACCACGCCCAACTTGGTGGCCGTTGCCTCCGGCTCTCAGCGCAACCTGAAATCACCACACGACAACCCTCTTGAAATCCGTCTTGTTTGCATGAATCTAATCATCTACCCATAGTAGGAGGACACTGGCCCCCGCCGTCTTGTGCGAAGGCCTCAGGAAGCCATGTACTGGCTGCGGCGCGGCACCATTGTGCTGGCGCTATTGTTGGTTGCATCCTTCATTGCCTGGTTCGTCCCGCGAGTCCTCGACCCAACCACCCACGGTCCAGCCAGACGAGCCCGCGACAACCTTTGGGTGAGCAGCAGCCCCTACTGGATTGACCGTCAGTTGTGTCGCTGGCTGAGTCTTTGCGGCCTGCACCACTTGCGCCGTGATCCCGCCTCGCTGCCGAACCTGAACGCTACGTCCATCGACAACGTCGACGACCAAGAGTGGGGCGAGCTTCGAAGGCGATCCGCTGAACCACCGTCGTGGGAAGACAGAACATCCGACGAGTCCGGCGCTGCAAGTGCCAAAAGGCAGGATAAAAAGAGAAACACTTTCCAAAGGCGACGAATCCTCAAGGACATTCCCGACTACGTTCTCAAGCACGCACCCCTGGTACACCTGTACTCCGGCGAGCAGTTTTGGCCATCGGATATCCGCGAGCATGTGCGGCATATGGAAGTTGTCGTTGACGATGAGTTGGTCAATATCACCGATGACAAATTAACGCTAGACAATCTTCACCGCCTCAACAAGTTCGAAGGCGTTGTCACTCTTCACAGCCTAGATGATGTCGAAACCCGGCCCACGTGGCTACACAGCCATGACAATGCTCCCAGCCCCTTTGACCATGATGGAGACGGCGATGGTCACAACGGCGACTATGGCAATGGTGCACCTGCTGGAGGCGAACGCACAACCTGGTTCGACGTTGACAAGGATACTCCCTTGCATCGAATCTCCGACCCGCGGCTCCGCAGCTCGCAGCGCCGACTACGATCCCGATCCCGGCCCCGTGAGCCCCGCCTCGAACGCCGAGGACATAAACCCGATGCCAACGGCTATTCTCGAGCTCCCGCTGTCCTTATTATTGTAGACAAGGGATCAGGCATCATCGATGCATTTTGGTTCTTCTTTTACTCGTACAACTTGGGGCAGACGGTTCTCGGTATCCGTTTCGGTAACCACGTTGGCGACTGGGAACATTCCATGGTGCGGTTCCAAAATGGCATTCCCAAAGGCATTTACTTTTCGGAACACGAGGGCGGCCAAGCCTACGCATGGGATGCCGTAGAGAAACGTGGTGATCGCCCCGTCATTTACTCGGCTGTTGGTTCACATGCCATGTACGCCACACCTGGCGACCACCCCTATGTCCTGCCATTCAAGCTGCTGAAGGATATCAGCGACAGAGGTCCACTCTGGGATCCAGCGCTAAACAACTACGCCTACCACTACAACTACAAATTGGAGAAGCACACGGAGATGGATGAGGAATCTATCGAGGGTCACAAACGCCCGCCGAGCCTTGTGCCCGCGTCCTCTAACCCCCATGCACCGACGGGGTGGTTCCATTACGACGGCTACTGGGGCGACCGTCTGTACACCTTGGCGGATATCCGGCAATGGCGCCTCTTTGGACAGTACCACTACGTTACTGGACCCAGTGGGCCAAAGTACAAGCAACTTGACCGATCCAAGGTGTGCCAGAGACCCCAATGCCGGATTCTATACAAGCTTGATCCAAAAGGGACCTGGTACTAGTCATGGTTCTTGGGCGCATAGACGACGTATTCCATCAATGGATATAAAAGGGGATGCCCGTTGGTGTTTCTACACCGAAACAAGATTTAGACGCGGAGAGGAAGCAATCTACAAGTACAAACCTTAGACGTATGGAGTTTATTTGTTTTGGGTTTTGGGTTTTGGATTTTGGATTTTGTCGGAAATGTATACCCCCATAAGTTGCGGTGTTGTGTGTCAATTATGGAGGTCGTTCTCTATTCAGGGTTCGGATTGGGCTGTGTGTCGGATTGCATTAGACCGTAGTGGAGGGTGGCTGAACTTTGATACCCGGCGCTTCGGATTGGAACTGTTGAATAGTTACATAGTCATAGATGGTGGAAATGAAATGATTCAAAGACGTCTGGTGCAAATGATGGTTGTGCGATGAGCCACTGTGGCACGTGTGAGGACAAGCGAATGGGCCCAACGCTCCCAGAAGCCATGGCCTAGGCACAGGAATAACAAGGAGCACTTGAGGCAAGATTGAGCATTGAATACTTTGCTACGGCTACCGCCCGCCAGGACAATTCAATGTTAGCCTCATTCAACTCTGTGCGCGCTCTTCTATGATGACGCGAGTGCCACTTGGCCCGCACGTGCGTGCCCCTGCGCCGCTTAGAAGCTTTTCAATGACGCCTCTGCTCATCATCTACCGAGCATGCTCTCGTTTTTCAGTCGCAGTATCCCAAGGTTTTGGTAACCATGACTACCGTGGAACTAAAAACTGGACTGATGGCCAAAAAGCATGGCGCGGCTAATCCACCACTCATGCTTGTGTATACTTTTATATAAGGCGGCCATGGAAAGACTAGGCTCTGCAGAAAAACATGTTCATCATATGTCTCTTCACAGCACATGACAGCCAATCTTGAAGCCATTTACATGTTTTGAATACACCACACTATTCCATCCCCCTTTTTTTTTTGTCAAAGCAAAATTATACCCTTAAGCCCACCACGTCTTCTGCTCCTGCCGGAAAATGAAGCCAGCTGCCGTCCTCGTCGGCGCCTGTTTCCCCCCCCTGGCCTACGCCAACGTTGGCCTCTCGTGGAAATTCAACGACCCGCCCCAGACGGGGCTCAAGGACGTCACGTTCCCCATCAACATGGCCAAGGCCAGGCACGAGACGGGCTACTACCTAGCCCAGCAGTTCAGCTTCAAGGGCATGAAGAGGCCGGGGTACATTGGCATCCAGCCGCGCCCGGACAGCAAGGGCCGGAGCATCGTCCACGCGGCCTTCTCCTCGTTCCAGGGCGGCACGGCCACCTGCCACCCCCGGTGCCGCTCCGGCGCCGACGGCGGGCGCGGCGTCAGCTGCGCCATCGACGTCCCCGGCGACTACGCCCACACGTACAACCTCACCGTCGAGAATGTCCGCGACAACACCACCTGGCGGGGTCTCCTGGTCGACACCGTCACCAAGAAGACGCACGAGATCGGCGCCTGGACCCTGCCTAGCGGCGCTGGTAAGATTCGGAGTTCCCAGGTCGGCTTTGTCGAGTACTTCCCGTGGAATGGGCACCAGCGCATATGCCCGCGGCAGCCCAAGATCGAGGCGACCTTTTACAACCCCTGGTCCAACACGGGCGGCGGTGCGGGCGTCGTCGCGGGCGTGCACGACTATGGCGACTGCAAGGGGTCCGAGAACTTCACGTCGACCAAGGTTGTGGGTGGGTACACCGTCAACTACGGCCGGGTGTAAAGCTCTGCCCTTGCCGAATACCTCGATTGTGGAAGAAGGTTCGGAGGTTGGGGGTTGCGTATCATTCTCGTCGTATAATCGATATTGTTGCGCTGGAAAAAAAAATGGTGGACCTCCCGTTAGATCAAGGTCTATTATGGCCTTTTGTGCCTCTTGTAATAAATGTTTGTGACTCGATCCAGAGTAGACGGCCTTGACAAAAGCTGAATTCAGCCATTCGATATATTGCCTGTCGAAAGAAGAAAAAAAGAACCCAATGCTTTCCATCTTTCAGATGTAGTGATGCGCTGTGATTGATGGTGGGGAGCGCGGATGCCAAGACCATAAAGAGACGATCGGCCTCGGGATGTCACGCGGGACGACCCGCAACGACCGACCCGATGGTGTGGAGACTCCGAGATACGAGCCATCATTCCTCTCAGAGATGCAAACCCGCGGCCCATGGTACGGCCCATCTCCTCATTCTCTGCCCCACCTGCATGTTGTTTACAAACCGCGGGGCACGAGTATAATATTTGTGAGTATATCCAATACAAGATGAGTGGTATCTGATCAGTAAAATCCTCAAGTACAAGCTCCAAAGTATCAGGTCCAATATCTACACGTTCAGATTCATCAGCCATCATAACGCCATACGGGGTACCATTGAAAACGTATTCAAATCTCTTCCTTCTTCATTGTTCCTCATCCTCGTGGATTGTAAAGCCCATTTCATCGCCCGGCCACGCTCGCTGCGTGCTGGGGTACTCGGACGGCTGACTGCTGCCCTCGCTGTCTCCCTGGGGGTCGTCAGGGTCCATGTTTTCTCCGTTGGACGAGCCCTCCTGATCTTCAATACCGGGCCACGGCTCGTCCTCAGGTAGCTGCTCTCCATTTCCTGGCTTAATCGAAGGGCGGGACATGATTTCACTGCTAGAGATACTCTCTTGGCCGTCGTGGTATGATTCCTCGCCGCTGTCGTAGATTTCTACTTCAAACCGCTCGTCTGTTGGGTATTCGATGACCACGTGGGATACTGCGCTACGGGCGACACTGCCTCCTCGGATGGGCCGCAATTCCTGTAGAGGCGCATTGCTGAAGGGCGTGGCATAGGCGGGCGGCGTCATGCCGCGGGTGACTTGACGATCGTTTATGGCAGACGGCATCGGACTGGGAGACGCGGTCCACCGCGGCGTGTGGTGCAGGTAACTCGGGGAGCGGGTGTTGCGTCTTTTCTGGATGCCTTGGCATGGGCCGCGGCCAAGGGGCGACGAGTGCCTGGATGGATGGACGCCGTGAGAGACGATGCGGTGACGACTGGAGGCGCTCGGGGTAGGTTGGGCTGTAAGGGGGGCGGAGGCCGTGCGGATGTGAGGTAGTCGCGGGGCGGGACGGCGCCCAGAGGAGAGCATCGGGGACGGATGGCGGATGGCGGCGGGACTGACTGAGCGCCATGGTTGTTCGAGCGAAACGTGTGCTGGCGAGTGAGTGTGCTGGCGGCGCTGGCGCATGTTGAGTGACGTTGGGATGCTGGGGGCCTCATCGAGTTGTTCGTTCCACAGCCAGCAGTGCTCCATAGCATCAGCTTCCCTGACTTGTTGGGATTCCGACACGTCTGGTGAGACGCGGTCCATCTCACGGACTCGCTGCCACGCCCAGCCGGACTCGTATGCCTCGTAGTCTTGTATGTAGGCGTCTGGGTGGGTGATGAAGAGCCGAGGTTCGGCAGACTTCATGGCTACCGAGTGCAGGAAGCTGACGTCCCATAATGTAGGTGTCAGCATTTCGGCGGCGCTGAGGAATCGAAGCCGTGATTCTTTGCGGACTTTGCGAAGGGGTGCCCATGATTCCTGGAGTCCAAGGTACCTTGAGAGACGTGGATCAGTAGACCGCCGTTGGGAGGTGGTGCCCATGGTTCGAAAGACCGAACCAAATGCCTCGTGGATGCCGGCTTGGACGCTTCTGGCATCGGGGCCGTAGAATGATACAGTTTGGATTAGACCACGGCTCCGAAGCCTTTTGTCCTGAGTGCTTTTATCACCACAGGCCCTAGGGTAAAGCCACTCAGCGTCGTGGTCGGAAACAGTCCAGTCGCCGCCAAACGGTGATTGAGACCGCAGCGTTGCGCTACTGACCGTCATGGGAATTTGCGTCCAATCGTCGTTGCTGATGCTGGCATCGTTTTTAAACTGCGAGAGTTCTTGCCAGAGTCTTTTCAGTGGAAATGGCAAAAAGACCACCTCGATTGTCCATGCGTGGCCGTGTGATGGGAGGAACGACTGGAGGTGAGTGACTTGGGCTCGCAGGCTGTCGATCTGAGACATGATTTCTTCCGGGTTTGGCCGGCTGGCGGAGCCTGCGGCCGCCGAGAAGACACTTTTGACACCATCGTCTTCTCCGTCGGCTTGTTTGTTAGTCAAGCCTGCTACATCCACGACCTTTTCTACCCCCTCCATCCTCTGCTCTAATTCGGTTACCCGCAAATCCATATGGTCATGCAAATCGACGCATTCTTCATGCCCATTTGCAGAGAACGACACAGTCTCCAGACGGTCCAGACGTTGTTCATGACCACTCACTACGTCTGACAGGTTTTGAAGAGTCTCTCGGGCAATCCTATGGGATGCTGCGTTAACTCGAGGTTCAAGTTGAGTAGCAGTGTCGGGCTGTGATGTTTCCGGTCCTTGTATATTACGGTTAACAAATACAAAGTCATCGTTTGATGTGGCAGGGTCCGCAGGCGCAGCACTTGCAAGACTTTTATCAACTCTTGGTGGTTGTTGTGGGCGCGGTGAGTGGGGTCCAGTGGGAGTTACATCAAGTGTACCAAGACCTTTCCCAGCAAATGGTCTCTGATACTTGGCCTGAATAGACGAGGTGGTGGAACCAGTCTGAGAGGCCATCAAAAACTGGGACGGAATAAGGGCCAATGCCATAGGGTCGGAGGATGGTCTTGGACATTGCGACGGCTGTTGAATATACTCCTCCCATGCCAATGTATCCGGCATGGAGCCTAGAGGATGAGGACTAGCCTCTTGCTTCGAAGTGTCCTCAGCTTCGGTCGCAAACTCATGGACAAAGGAAAGGGGAATGCCAGGACTAAAGGCAGCAAAATCAAATCCGGGTACGGTAGAAACGCCTTGCATAGATGCATCCACGACTGGGCTCAGTGGTTCGCGTCCGGTGCGGGGTCTCTCATTTTCTTGTCCAAGGGGCGCGAAGCCAGTTTGTTGCGGCAATTGATCTTGCTGCTGCTGCAAGTCGTCACGAGATCCTTCATCGTGATAGCACGCGTGATGGGCGCACATACACCATCCAGGCTGGTCAGCAACAAGATGACCCATCGCCTGGCGAGGCCAGAAACGACGGCAACCACATTTTGCTCCGGTGGCCCCAGGGGTCAGGTCAACAAAATTACAAGATCCATTAGGCAGGCTCGGGGAAGGCGGCGGCAATGAGGTAGCAGCATCAGTATATATATCGAATGGACTCGTGCCTGTGTTTGAGGGATTCGGGAGGTTGGCGGCCATTGGATCGCGGGGAGAAGCGTATTTGATGAAACAAGATTCGACACGATAACAGAATTCGAATCACGACTCGCGCGAAGATCGATCAAGATGTCGTGGCCAGGCGGCTTGCGCTGGCCCCAGCAGGGTCGCTCGCAACACGCAATGGTCTAGTTCATTGCACTGGAAACAGGGCGGGAATGGAGTCAGCTCGGGAAAAGAATGCGATTCTCAATAGGCACGCGATTGATCCGGACCGCAGGGAATAAGGCGAGGTGGGACGAACAAAACGGGTGCTGGTTGCTCTCCCGAGTGACTGTCGCGTCGAGCGTCTTCCGCTGAGGTCGGACCAAGTGGCATGAGAGGCCCTTTAAATAGTGGAACAGAAGGAGGACGGAACGAGGACTTTATAGCGCATCCGGAGCAGAACTGGACGCAAAATAATACCGACTGGGCAACAGGAGAAATATAACGGCAGCGGAGCCAAGGCCATTACACAGCTGGAGGTCGCAAGTCCAGAGACGACAAGGAGGGATGGGAGAGAGAAGCCAGGACTTTCAGGACGTCGAGGGTGGTGGACATTGGGGTGGTGGAGAAAAGCGACCGACACCAACATTGCAGCAGCTCTTGTGCATTTCGGGACACGCATCACACCCCCCAAGCCCCCCAGAGCCGGCTCAAGAAAGACGAGGAAGGCTTTGCTGCCTTGCGGAGCTACATGGCGTGGCTCAAGACAGCCAATGTCTGCTTTACCCAGCTGACGGGCGTTGGCGTTGGAGTTCCCATCCAATCCCAGGTTGGAGACGTGTGGTTCAAAGCCGGAATCGTCAGCCACCAAAGCTCAACGGCATCAACGTCGGCTCACCCAGATCCACAATTGCGTGTTTGCTTCGAGTCACAGGTGCATAGAAGCTGCCCCAGCTCAAGGAGTCAAGGACGATGGGTGCTTATATCAATGAAGAGCCGAGACTGGATGGATTGGATGGCCTTGGCGTGCCTGGCGGGTGGGCAAAGTCCAACAAGCACCTTGAATGGCGCCGAGCGTTTCACTTCCGCGCCTGTTCAGGTATCTTGAGGAGCAACAGCTCAAGCTTACCCCGCCAAGTCGCGCGCTTTACGCGTTCTACGTTCTCTAAAAAGTACCTGGACGGGTGCGCCCCACTGTCGCGCCGTCCCGCCAATGGCGGCGCCTGGGAGCCTGTTCCGGGAGTTGGTCCACTCAAAAGTGACATCTGAACATCTGGATAAATACTAGTGAACTGACTGGGACACTCACTGCTCCTGTCCCAGAATGCACCCCTCAAGCGACCATTGTTCGGTCTTGCAGTGGCTCTAATATCTGATGCTGCTTCGGAACCTCTACCATCTGTTGGAGAGGACATGACAATAGGCGGGAGGCGGCCGTAACGAGAGGGAGGGGGTGTACAATGCACACTGCTCCGCATTCCACACACGCCTCCTTTGAAGAAGTATCCTATTTTTTTTCTCTCTTTGCTAGTAGCTAATAGTACGGGC